TTCTGGGCGCAGAGAGGAGCGCAGCGGGGCGCGGGACGCGGGCGGAGCGGTCCCAGCGGAGCCCACGGCAGCCCTTTGTCTGGGCCGCGCCGCCTCCTGCCTGGGGACTGGCGCGTCCCGGCCTGCCGGCGGGCCGACTCCTCTCCTGGGACCGCGAAGCCCCCGCGCCCTGCGGAGCCCGGCCCCCTGGGGGTCCGGAAGGTGCAGCCATCCGCGCCCGCCGGCAGTTAGCGCGGGAAGGTGACAGCCCCGCGGGAGGAGCAGCCCCGGGATCCTTCCCTAGCGGCGCTTGGAGCCGGAGGGACTCCCCCAAGCCTCCAGAAGCGCGTTGTCCCTGCGAGCGCCCTAGGGGCACAGTCCAGGTTGAGGGGAGGTGGGGTTTCAGTCACCTGAGACCGATTGCAGCGCCCTCACCCCCGAGTGCGGCCCCTGCAGGTGCATGCCCCAGAAGGGGCTCTGGTCTCACCCTCATCAAGTCAGCCTCGAAGGACCTGCCCGGGGCTGGGAGAGGATTATAGTGGCACGCTTGTCCGAGGACCTCACGGTCAAGATAGGGGGTTACCGCCGGTCCACCAGCTCGAGATTCAAGGCCTAGGGGGAGCGAGAAGGGGCACAGAGTTTGCTGGGCAAGGGGTCCTGGGTGCTGCCACCCCGTCTGTACCCAGCAGAGCCATCTGAGTGGGGAAGGAGGCCACGCGTGCAGTGACGGGCACTCGGAGCACCCGGTCGAGGGAGGCCCAAGCATGATGGCACCATGAGGAGAACAAGAGGTGGAAGGGGCGGGCAGGCAGGGAACACCAGAGGACGGGCATCTGATCAGGACCCGAGGGAAGTGAGGGTCAGGTGAGAAGTCTGGGGGAGCAGTGTCCTGGGCAGGGGACACGGAAGGTGGACCCATGAGACGGGAGAGCCCAGTATGTAAGAAACACACCAGGGTCCAGAACCCAGGGCCAGGGGAGACTGGAAGGAAATGGCGGGAGGCAGAGGGGATGGTGGCAGATCTGCACAGTGGGAACTTTGACCTCTTTTCTGAGTGAGGGGGAGCCATCAGAGGACTTTGAGCAGAGGGAGGAAGGATGTGACGGACCCTTTCAAAGAATCGGTCTGGTTCCTGGACGAAGAGATGGTAGCAAGGGCCAGTAAGGAGGCTGGAGACATCCACTGACGGATGTGGGGTGTGAGAGAAAGGGAGACCCCAAGGGCTTCTGTGTATTCGCCTTGTATCCTGCAACCTTGCTGAACTCCCTGTATTAGTTCTAACAGGTTTTTAGTGGATCCCTTAGGACATTCCATGTGCAAGATCATGTCATCCGTGAATAGAGATAGTTTTCCCTCCTCCTTTCCAATCTGGATGCCTTTTCTTCTTGGCTGATTGCCCTGGCAAGAACCTCTAGTACAATGTTGAGTAGAGGCAGCAGGAGCAGACATCCTTGGCTAGATCCTGACCCCGAGAAGAAAGCATCCGGTCTGTCTTTCCCCACTGAGTGTGATGTTCACTGTGGGTTTTTCATAGATAACTTTTATCAGGTTGAGGAAGTTTCCCTCTATTCCTAGTTTGTTGAGTGTTTTTAATCATAAAAAGGTGTTGGATTTGGAGAAATGCTTTTTCTTTTTTTTTTTTTTTTTTGTCTTTTTGTCTCTTTTTTCGTGTCCGGCAACGGATTGCAACCC